AGATGTAAACAACAATTTTAACCAGAATTCTCCACTGTAAACAAAGCATATAAGAACTTTGTTAAATGACACAAGCACAAGAGTACAAGAGATTAACAAAACTGATGGCACTTAGTTCTACACAGAACAAATATTTGGTACATATTTTTTAAATAAAAGACATGACGTGACTTAACCAAATACACAATTTTCAAACTGACAGTCTTCAAAATTTGGGAAATGAACATTCAAGTTTAAAATGTTAACACCAAAGTCAAAATATTAGGTCCCAATGACACAATAATTGAAAGAGTTCTGGACTAAAGGTGATATTTGAACGGATTTGAGTATGTAAAATGTATACAGGTCAAGCAGTATCAAGATCTGTCCTATACTAAAAAGTGATTCACTTAGGCAGTAGAAGCATGCATGTTAAAAGGCTACAGCATTAAGATGAGGAGAAGAGGCAATTATCAAGGGTATTTGTACAACTCTGTCATTGAGAGAAAAATTTGATGAATCTAATAAAGAAAACCAACCAACCAAAAACAAACAAAAGATTTGCTTCAAAACTCAAACGCTAAAAATCACACAAAAGTGCAGGTGCAGAAAAAATTTAACACACAAATTCTATCACAATGTGAAGCTAAACACAACAATTTCAGAAATCTTACTAAAATATGAAAAGAAGTGCAACAATAATAATATAGTAATGATAATAATAATAAAGGCACTAATATGACATGGTAGCTGCCAGCGCGAATAATTAATCTTTTTCAATGCAATTCCAAAAAAAAAATTTGCAAAAAGAAAAAAAGTTTGTGTACAACATCAGTTTTTTGCTTACTTAATATCGATAAATACTTTTTAAATATAAAGACGAATAAAGTTGATGTTTGTCTACTTTTGTACATTTGGGAAACAAATGTCATTAGCTGCCAAGAAAACATCACTAACAAAGGCACTACCCCTTAAAAACAATGATATAAACAATAAATGCCGACATGAAATGCACACATGAACTTGCTTATCGTAAAGAAAAACGAATCACTAAACAGATATGGCCTTGTTGACTATGAAGGGACTAAATCATAGCATGTGGCACCAGCCACACAAAAATATAGTTCATTCTGGTCCATATATCTTGACAAACATTCATAACAAAAATGAGAGAGAAGGCATTCAAAGAGATCTCACACTCGGGTTACAAGATAAAACAAAGAAAGATGACCATTCACCATTCAAAAATACAAAACAACCATAAATTTTTCAACAAAAAAAAGTTAGAGATTGAAAAAAAGGGAATCACAGTTGTTGTTCTGCATGACTACAAATTTTGATTCAATGTATTATGCGTGTTGTGAATGAGTACACTATCCCCACAACTGACTAGTGGAATGTGCAGATAGTGCACATTCAGTCCTTTGGTAAAACATTGCATAAATAAAAGAAGTCTGTCTTTAGATAGGCATTAAGCTTCTAAAGAAAAAAAGCAATAATCAAATATTTTTCTCCTTCTCTTTATGTAAGTACTTGCAGTCAGCCTTCACAAATCTGTAAATTTCCAAGAAAATCGAGGGTTGATTATAAACCAAACAGGTGTACAATTAATTTCAGCTTGAAAATTTAGTGCAGCACCATTTTAAAGATGTTAACTTTAAAATGGATTCTTACCTGAAAAGCAGGTATGGTAGAGGGATTGTAGTACAATGCCAAATGGCGTGGGCATCAAAAATCTTGTATATTGGTTCAAAGTCAAGAATTTCAAAGAGCATTGTAGCCCACAAGCCCAATAAGAAGTGCATTAAATAGTGGGTATGTGGAAGCTCTTTTCGATTTTTAATGCACCAAGCAAACCATACTATGGATGTAACACCACCTAGATAACAAGAAATCATTGATTTTCTACACTTTAAAACCATTGCAATGGTACATTTGAAAAACATACAACATTGATACATACCCACACTGACATTAACAACCATATTGTAACCATAGTCCAGCTTCACAAACAGCAAATAAGTGGCATGGAAGACATATAATGCGATGCAGAGGCAGGCGTGAACAACAGTTGCACCTCTAAACAAGTGGCTTCCCACTCTGATCAGAAGAAAGGACACAACAAATCCTTGTTGTAGTTCAAAATACACCATATCACAATAAAAAAAATTTAATTCAATTTTATCTCACCTTGCACCAAAACAAAACAAAAAGTAGGTCACAACTGAGAAAGCTGACACATAATCCATAATTTCGGTAAATGAAGTATCCCTTGCATGGAAGACAATAGACCATATCCATGAGTTGAGACAAATCTGAAGAGAGCACAAAGACAAAAGATGGATAATTAATTGAAATGCAAAAGACTGTAAGTGAGAACGTGGTTGTGTTAAAATAAGGGTAGAAATTTGAGTTCACGTTGTATGTCATACCATTACATAGAATGACCACATCCAGTAAAATGGATAGTCAGGTTTCACCTCTTTCCGAAACTTTCTCCATTCATTGAATTGGACAATGAAATTGAGAATTGAAAACGTGACAGAGGCCACTTCTTGCATACAAAGAAGTCGCACAAAAGGCCACTGCAACAACAAAAGATTTAAATTAACAAATCATACAGAAAACAAATTGAGCAGCTAAAATATACAAACCTTCCCATGAAACTGTGGGACATTCCAATTCCGACCTCTGAATGCCTCAACTGTTGGCCACATACAGGTATATCTACATTCATCTTGGCACGTCCACCCAATTAAGGAGTCTAATGTTGAGTAATGCTCGTTACTTAAGTTAGCAAATTTTCCCCCTGAAAAGACAGAAGGAACATTAATCCGGTTAAGTGTAAAAGAGAGGTTTCAGAAGGGCTGCTGAGATAGAGAAGTATTTATCTCAGACATTCATAACCTATGAAAAAGGTTAAAGCAGAGTGATTACTTCTCATAGAACTTGCCTTTAGTGCAATTTGCTTGAATGCATTTGTCGATACAGTTGCGATAGAAAGGGGACTGGTCCCCTTCAGACCCCCCTACAATGCAAAACGTTGCAAAGAGGGCTGATAGTATGATAATCGTCGTCACTCCTTGACGAGCCATACTGCCGCTCCTCTTCACGAGTTTTTAGTAGATTTCAATGCGCCATGAAGTAAAAATAGTAATAGTTTTTACAAGCCATACTGGCAAGTGTCTAAATATATGTAAATTTGATGTAGCATATCGTCTGCACAAACCCTCTCCGCCCCTCCCACCACCCTTCGCCTTCGTCCCAGATTTTGGGGGTGCAGATGTTTTTGTTTCCACTTCGCACGGGCGGGGGGCAACGACCCTAGAGTACTGGTCAATTTCGGTCGGTGACATGGATAACTTTTTAAAAGCAGAAATGCCCTTTTCACAAGTATTTATACTAGCTGTAGAATTTTTTTAATTAATAAGGACCTGAAGCGTTTTAAACTCAAAACTGTTGTGTGTTGAGAATGACAAGTTCATTCTGCCGCCTGGTTATTATTACTATTATTTAGGAACGTACTTTCGACATGCATGCGCAAGATTTGAACGATGAAGCAAAACAGCCGTTACATTTCTTAGACCTCGACACGTTGTGCGCGGGCAAAGTAGAGTTCGTGAAAATGAATATCACGCTGGGTGAGTACAAATATCGACGGTTAATTTCCCGTCAAGTCACCTATGCCCAAGTGTCTTAAAACAGTACTTAAATTGGAAGCGACCTATTCGATGATCGTTTAATAAACGAATTAATTTCGCAGATTACGTTAAGAAAATGACCGAGGACCTGTGGGATGGGCTAGGGGACGGGGAGCTGTTGTCCTGGTCTCCGGCTGCGGTGGCCTGCGCTACGGCGGCCTTTCTTATGGTGCCTGTGACAGTCGCCCTTCTTAAGAAATGCAAGCAGGGCACTCCTGGTCAGTCATTCACAGTTATTTCTTTTATCGCTTTCTTGTCAATTTGGCTGGACCCTCTAATTTTCTTTGGTCGTTTTCAGCTCTGGATAAACACGCCGAACTGTTGTCATCAGTCCATTTCTATTCAGGAGTAAGTTGTTAAATGATTTAATCATACCAAAATCATATTAAACATCTTTTAACTGTAATTTATGTAATTGCAGTCACCACCTGATGCCAATAACAATAAGCGTTGTATTGAATTGCTGAGTAAATTTCCTGAACTAGTCAATCAGCCATTGACAAAGGATCATTATACTTCCCATGGGTATACTCCTTTTCTGGTGAGAATGTATCAGGTCTTTTTCTTATTCTAATTTGTATTTCTTTTCATGTACCTCATCTTAATTTTTGGTTATTTTTATTTCTTAACAGAGAGCTTGTTGGAACAATAATTTTGAATTAATCAAGTTCATGCTATCTGCTGGTAAAATATTAACTTATCTTTTTGACTGTGTTAAGTGAATTGTTAATTCACTGGTAAACTTTCAATATAAATGTATTTCCTTTCAAAGGTGCTGATATTCGTCTCACAAATTCAGATGGTGAGACAGCACTCTATCTAGTTGCGTATAGAGTTAGTAAAAGTCAGACGTGGGATCCAAAAGCACTTAATCTGCTGTGGAATGCTGGTAAGATGTGAAATTAGTGCTCTGTACCTATCCTCCAGGCTGTTGTAAGGAATAGTTCTATGTCTGTGTCATTCCCTTTTCTTTTCAGGATGTTCAGTGGATGACGTAAATGTTCACAACAACTCGATGCTTCACTTAGCAGCCAAGGCAGGGCATGCAACTTTAACTCGTTGGCTCTTATTGCATGGAGCTGAGCCTAAAGTAATGAATGAAGCTGGCTACACCCCGTACAAGTTGGCGCTAAAGAAAGGTATGTCAAGGCTTCATGCATTTAGCTTCAATTGAGTTTGTGAAATAAGCCATGACTTGTCTTGAAAAAACTATGTCTCAAAGTACTCAAGGTTTTCTTAAACCCACCCTTATGCAGGTTCAACGGCACACAAGCTTGTGGCAGCTTTATTGGATCATCGAGCTACTACCAATGAAGATCGGAAGGTGGTTGTGCGCTCTGATGGAGTATATTTGGAGCGCGGTGTATCATCATTGTTGTAGTAAGCTACATAACTTACTGTTTTGTTTTTTGAATTGAACATGTACAAGACTAGTTACTTATTTTATCTGTAAATTTGTAACATATGTAGCTATTTTATTTTTTATTTTGTTTTAAATGTCA